AGTTCGCCGATGACACCAAACTTTGGGGCAAAGCATCCACACCAGAAGACAGGCGGGTGAACCAGGCTGACCTGGACAGGCTCAGCAAGTGGGCGGACGAGAATCTGATGGTGTTCAACGCCGATAAATGCAAGGTTCTCCACCTTTTGGAAAAAAAAACCTGCAGCATCCTTATAGGCTCGGCCGTGCTATGTTGGCTAGCACTGTGGAAGAAAGAGACTTGGGGGTCATCATTGACCACAAGATGAACATGAGCCTGCAGTGCGATGCGGCGGCTAGTAAAGCGACCAAAACGCTGGCTTGCATCCATCGATGCTTCTCAAGCAAATCCCGGGACGTCATTCTCCCCCTGTACTCGGCCTTAGTGAGGCCGCAGCTGGAGTACTGTGTCCAGTTTTGGGCTCCACAATTCAAAAAGGATGTGGAGAAGCTTGAGAGAGTCCAGAGAAGAGCCACGCGCATGATCAGAGGTCAGGGAAGCAGACCCTACGATGACAGGCTGAGAGCCCTGGGGCTCTTTAGCCTGGAAAAGCGCAGGCTCAGGGGTGATCTGATGGCCACCTACAAGTTTATCAGGGGTGACCACCAGCATCTGGGGGAACATTTGCTCACCAGAGCGCCCCAAGGGATGACGAGGTCGAATGGTCACAAACTACTTCAAGACCGTTTCAGGCTGGACATAAGGAAGAACTTCTTTACTGTCCGAGCCCCCAAGGTCTGGGACAGCCTGCCACCGGAGGTGGTTCAAGCGCCTTCATTGAACACCTTCAAGATGAAACTGGATGCTTATCTTGCTGGGATCCTATGACCCCAGCTGACTTCCTGCCCTTTGGGCGGGGGGCTGGACTCGATGATCTTCCCAGGTCCCTTCCAGCCCTGATGTCTATGAAATCTATGAAATTGCCAAGTGCTGCTCAGGCCTTAAGAGCTGAGGCGGTGAATAGATGGAGGCGGTTGGCAAGCTCCTGTCCATCAGCTGTCTCAAAGCCTCCGTGACAAGACCCTGCCCCAAAGAGGGCAGCCTTCAGGGCTTACGTACCCCCAGCTTGATAGGCATAGCCCCGGTCCCCGCCGCAGTGCTCCTCCATGCACGGCTACAACCAGAGAGCTAAGCCCTGCTGGGATCGGAGTACCGTAGCCCAGAGCGAGACACGTGCATGGGAACATACCCATGCTGCATGCTCCCCCGGCAGTCCTCCAGCAACCTTCCCACAGGCCTTTGCACCTCACTGCAGCCAGCCACTGGCGTTCCCCAGCCTGTCCTCCGAGGTCGCAGTGACCAGATACCACCTCCCTGTTTAAATAATAGAGCACGGTCAGGTGCTGCTCGGTGTCCTGAGCATGCTTTCCTTGCTAGCCCAGGCCCTGCCTCCAGCTGCACTGGTGCCGAGATGCTGGACATCGGTGCAGGATCTCTGCCGTCAGAGTATTTTTTGTGCCACGGCCAAGTGGGCTCAGAGATGAAGGATTTGAAGCCACGTGCGGGCAAACTGAAGGTAAACTCAGCACCAAACCCAGTGCTCCTATTACCTGCTCATGTTGCAAAGAGCTGGGTCCATGCAACCTCCAGGACCACCGTGGTTGCCAGGCTAGGGCGGAGGAGAGCAGGGCTCCAGGCTCCTTCTACCAGGCTGCATACACCTGACACCCCAGAGGTCTTTAACCAACCAAACCCTGATCCAGATCCACGTGAGCACCGAGGTGGCCGGTCCTGCTTCTGCCCTGAAAGCACCCAGCAGAGAACAGGGAGCATCATTATACATAGCACTGCATGATGAATACAGCTAGCACTTGTTCCTACTCCCAGGGCAGAAGCCCACGATCTGGGGTGGACGTGAGCAAGCCCCTGAGCCATCTCGAATCCTGGCGTCCACGAGCAGTGCAAGCACCAGTTTCTTTCCCAGGCCTTTCCCCCACCACCTTGATTGAGCCAATGCCCTCCTGCCCCAGCACCAGGCTCCAGTCTCCCTTGCTGCATGCTCAGCTGTATGCCACGGCAATGTTTTCCCCTCCCAGAGCCAAGCCTGGCCCTGCTGCAAAGCCCTTGCTGCATAAGACCACGTGCAGATCAAATGCATACTACGCAACTTGGCGAGGGTCTAGCAGTGCAGGGGCAGACAGGGCTAGGGGCAGAAAGCAGGACAGCTGATGGGGCAAGGAGTAGAAAGCAGCTGAAAGGGTAGGGAGCATCGGGCTGGGAGCAGACAGCAGAGCAGCTGATGGGGCAAGGAGCAGAAAGCAGAGCAGCAGATCGGGCAGTGGAAACAGGACAGAGTGGGGAGGATGCGGAGCAAATCTGCGGCAACCCTAGCCCCTCTGTTCTTCCTACAGGCCAGCACAGCAGCCACGGGCCTGGCAGGGGAGCCACACTGACGTTCCCCATACGGAAGAAGAGGCGAGCGTCCCCCCCGAAGTCTCCCAGACCCGAACCTATTGACGAACCCTGAGGGGGGAACAGCAGGAAGGCACCATCTATGCACTGGGCCAGTGCTTTTGGGGTCCCCGGGTTAGCAGTTGCCGGCGACCATTGGGGGTTGCGAGCTTCCAGGGGGTGATGGCCACTTGCTTGCAGGGCGGGCGGGCTCCTGGGAAGCGAGGCGGAGGGGAGCGCAGGGGGTTATGCGCGGGCAGAAGCGGGTTTCGCTGGTCTCGGAGCACCACCTGCTGGTCTCCCTTTGCACGAGCCGGCTCCGACCCGGCTCCCAGCCTTTCTCCAGCACCACGAGACCCCACGTTGCATTCAAAGGTGCTTTGGATTTACACCCGCGTAGCAAGCAGAAACTGGTTCTTGCGGGTGGTGAGGCCCTCGAGAGCAAGATGCCAGTTGACAACATTTCACAGAAGCACAACGGTGGCTGCCGTGGTCCCCCTGCTTGACCTGACGCAGATTCGGGTGTCAGGACAGGGCAGACAGCTGTCCGACATAGACTTTAGATGACAGATCGGACAGGCTGGTTTGGAAAGGGATGGTTTGATCCTGCCTTAAGCAGGGGTTGGATTAGATGTGACCTCTTCCAGCCCTGTTCTCTAGCTGTAGCATCCTTTACTCCAGTGGTTTGCTATAAGGCTTCTCACACCTCCGGGACCTCCTCGCTGGGGTGAAAGGCTGCAAAGGCCGATGTCCTGATTGCACGTCACACATAGAGGGACCATGGGCAGATCAGATCTCATGCTCTATTGGTGACCTTCTCAAAGGGAAAAGCCCCCTTTGAATAAAAGACAGAGGAGACACTGACCTAGCAGTGTTTTAGTAAGAGCGAGACCAGAGCCCCAGGGCCTGGCCCTTCCAGAGCCAGATCAGCCACGACTCCAGGGGAGCAAACAGAGCTCCTGCGTGGTCCTGCCTTCAGTCCTGGTGCCACCTCGTGGCCATGCTTCTCCACAAGCAGATAACAAGCAACCCGTTTGCTCTGCTCCTGCTCAAGTGGTGACCCCAGCGGACCCCTGTTGCAACCCCAAACCACACAGGGGTCAAGCTAGTCCTTGCCCCGAGCAGACCTGGTCCAGGAAGGGTCAGGGCAGATGCATTAGCCACTGGAGGCTGCAATAGCAAGGGCTGCAAGTTAGGAGCCTGCACCAGGTTGATGCAGCAGAGCTCACAGGAGGGACAGAGTCTCCCCAATATCGAGGCAAACCCATGAGGTGCTGCCGCTCTATCAGGATCCTACAGCAGGGACCTCCAGAGGTCACATCCAGTCCCACCCCATGCCCGAGGCAGGATCCTTCTGACCCAAACCGCCCCAGACAAATCCATCCTCTCATCTCTTTGCAGAACTACGCGGTCAGCCCCGACACGGCACATGACAGGGTCCCGCCGCCAAAACTGGGATCACCACCAAACCCGGGATCACCCACGTTTGACGTTGAACTGTGCGCGTGCTCTACTTCAAAGGCTTCCACCCGGCTACGTCAGTCCGCTTCATGGGCAAGTTACTCCTCAAAAAAGGAAGAAGTTTTTAAGTCACAGCAGCAAGGACCAAGCAGCCACAATGCATCAGCTGCTGACCTGAGCTCATCCGTGCAGAAACGTCACGGGCAGGTTGCTTCCCCGTTCTCCAGGCCCACGTGGAGGTCGCACATGCTGACAGGGACCCCGACTGCACGGGGAGCTTATGCAGCACTGTCCTGCACCAAGACCTGCCCCATCCATCTCAGGGGGGCAGCAACAGCCATCACCGAGGTCAACACCACTCATGCCAGGGAGACGTGGTGGAGGCAGGGAGCATAGTTTCCTCTTGGTGCCGCAGGGGTTTGGCAGCTGCTTCACTATTGATAGCTTGGGGCAAATAGGTCCACAGGCAAATGCTGTATTTCCCTTTAACCTCTTCTTTCAGCCAGGGAAAAGCTAGGCTTAGAGACAGACACACACAATGAACAGCTGCACAACCTTCGTGCAAAGCCACACTTCGGCAAGGCACGTAGGCAGAGCTTGTTTGTGGATGCCGCTTGCAAAAAAAAATAAGATCTCCATTTGGTCCCTGCTGTTTCCAGCCTCACGGGGCCATCATCACGTCTGCTGGATACTCAGAGAGGGAAACGAAAGTCTGATCACATGTGTGGGTTTTAAAGTGCATGGACAAGGGGCATTGGCTGCCGCTTGCTTATCGAGTGCTACCCCGGGGCAAGGTAGCGATCCAAATTTTTGCAGAAATCTGAGCATCTTCTTTTCTTCAGAGGAAATTGAACCTGCAATGATGGCCATGCGCACCGGGAACCCAAAATGACAAACGGCCCAAAGATTTGGATGCAACCTTGAGACGCCTGGAAAAACAGAGTCTGACTGGCAAGGACGCAGGCGCCTTTGGAAGGCATTTCAAGACAGTCACCCCCGAAACCCAGCTCTGCTGGGTCAACCGGTGCCTAGTCCTTTGTCCCTTAACTGAGCCCAGGTAAAGCCCCACCCTCCCACCCTGAAGCCCAAATGGTGCCCGGCCTGTTTAAAAGGGTCCAAACATTAAGTGTCACCGTGCTGGGGGGGAAGAACCAGGAGCAGAGCGGAGGTCATAAAATGTCCCCGTTTTTATTGGCTGAAACCAAAAAAGGCTCCTTGGGAAACAATGAGCAGGTGCAAAGTAACACAAAGGCGTTTACAGTTTCCTTAGTCAGGCCTCGGACGTAGAGGAAAGGGGAAGGTGAGAAGGAGGTGGGGGAAAAAATAAATAAAAATCAGTCAATCACCTTTTGCAAACTCAAACCCAATCCAAGCAGAGGCAACCCCTGCCCACCCCCGAGGGCAGCGACCTAGGAAGGATTTCACCTCCTGTGAAGGGATTTCTGGGTTCACCTTTGCAGCTCGAGGTTTTTCACACTCAAAAGGGAAGAACCCCGGCAGCGTTCGAGCGATCCGCCTTCCCCCTCGGCGCTCCGGGCCTCGAGCAGGTCAGGATTACAGCTGCACCCTGGGAGGCGGGCAACACGAGGAAGATGGCATTACCGACACCACGTGGGCTTCCCCACCCCAAAAGGCCTGGCGGAGACCCCAGACCTACATGGTGTCAACTGGTTCAGGGAAAAAAAAGAGCCAGGCAGGGGTAGGTGGAAGCTGTTTGGGGGAAGGAACAAGCAGCCACAAGGTGCCGACAGCTTTAGCGATGTGAACGAACAGAGGATGGGAACGCTTTGCCCTCTGGCAACGAGAGAAAGAACACGCCCCGAGCAGAGCCACCGCATCTCCTGCATTTTAATTTAAGAGCCAAAAGCAGCAGCGATCACATAGTGCAGCCCTGCGTGCCAGGCTGATCCCATGTCCGGTATATCACTGCCCCTCCTTCCCATCCCATGGCCACCCAAACCCCCTGGCAGCCCAACATCACACAGACACACCATCATGTCACCAGCAAGAGGAGCTTAGTCAACCTGGTTCGGTGCCCAGGCTTGGAAATTCAGCTTCAATAAGGAAAAAAAAAAAAAATGGAAAAAAAAGAAACTTACAGTAACCCTCTGCAAAAGCAAAAGCGGAGCCCATTCCTTTCATTTGCACCGTCATAGCATTGTAACTTATACGTCACAACCCCTCTCCTGATGACCTGCCTCCCTGACACCTCGGCCCAGCGCTGCTCTGATGCCTCAAAATCCAAGAGCAGCGACAAGAGGAGAAAGATTGCAAAAGCTCCCGCAGTACTAACCCCCCCTTCTCACAATCCTGACAGACAGCTGTGAAACCACTGCACTGATGGGAGAGCCCTATAGACATATTTACATCAAACCCCACATGCACACACACACACTTGGCTGAAGTCACCTCCAAAGCTTGCCAAAAAGGCGCAAGCCAAGTGAGGCTGAGCCTGTCCTCCGAACCCCTTGCACAACTGGCTGTTGAACTTCCTTGCCTGCCCGAAAGAGCCTTGAGCTGGAAGTAAACCCACAATTAGACAGGCCTGTGGCAGCTGTGGCTGGCTTCAGTGGCATCTCAATTAGATGGCAAATGTTTCAATTCGCTCATGCCCCTTTTCTGCTGATAGCGCACTCCCAGACTGCTCCGTGGCAGGCTCTTTCGGAGCTTGCCACTGACTTTATCCTGCACAAAGAACCTGGCAAAACTTCCCCAAAGAAGTTCGAGGTGTGGAGGAAGCCAGAAGTGATTCAAAACACTAGGCACACCGTTCCCATTACTGCAGAGGCACCACACACACACACATCTAAGTGGTGTCCAGAAGCCCAACCGTGTAGGATACCTCACCCCTTCTGAGCAGCCCTGGAAGGGAGGCAATGCAGCCAACTCAGCAGTGCCCAGCGTGCAGCAACAAGCGCTGGCTGGAGAGAATCGGAGGGACATCCAGGACGCTGTTTCAGAGCAGCGACAGTCTCGTGCCCGGGATTCGGGGTGCGGTGCAGGACCTACCCCATGATGCACGTACACACGCTCCACAGATCTGCTGCCATCTCCTCAACCCATCCCCCAGATGCACCAACTCGGTGTGAACCCTGGCAAAGGGGAGTGCAGCCCAGCACAAGAGGGGTGCAACCATATACGTCGTGCATCAGCCCTCCTTACCTAAGTCACGCTGCTCCAGAACTTCTGTCGGTGGAGAAGTTCCCTTGGCTTTTGATGAAGCACTTACAGGGGCTGGGAAAGCGCGGAT